CCTGCTGACTCTTCGTATGCCTGTCATGTGCAGGTGCCGCGTCCTGCCTTCACGGGGCGTACAAACTCTTCGGAGCAGAAACTTCCTATTCTGAAGGGTTTCTGCGCTGTTGGTTAAAGGGACACTCGGCTTTTTTAACTTGCCCAAAACCAACCCGGGCCACCCCGGTAGCTGGAGACAACACCTACTGTTGGGTTTAAGCCATGTATTTAGGTTATTAAGTGGCCTGTGTGCCCTGTTGTGCAGGTAATCGTACCAGTTAGACAGGCTTCTCTCACCCAAATAAGTAAAATATAATCAGTCTTTAAGAAAATTACAAACCATGTCAAACTCCAAAGATTTGTTGGTCTGTAATAAGCTTACATGGGCTAGACTTATTAAATCTTGCTTAAAGAGGATTGTATCGAAAAATAAATAGAGAAACTGCGTGCATGTACATGCAAATGTGGGTACAAGCATGTGAGAGAAAAAACCTTGAAGAGCCTTGTCTTTGCCGAACCGCGGGATGGAGGTGGCCAGAACATCCAGCTGGATGGCTGCTAGCTCGCCGCACCAAGCTAGAAAAGGGCTTTTTATTCAGAAAAATCACCTCACAAAACCAGCACGTTGTTTCTGAATGCGCTCGTGCCTTGTCTTCCATTAGGGGCACAGCCCTTGACCCCGTCCTGGTGTTGCGCAGGCTGAGGTGTACAGACACTGTTCTGCACCTAGCTGTGCAGAATCCCCTTGGTCTCCACTGTGGCCATTCGCTGCCCGCGTTTCTCCATGGCACTGAACCCCTGTTGTTGCTGTTTACCCTTAATACACCTCAGAGTATGTGAACTAAACTCTAGTTCCAGCAGAGGTAACTTACCCCACAGCCCCAGCCAAAAAGCAATGGTAGCATTTTAAAATCATTCGTGTGTGTTGGTGTGCATTGAAAAGGCTTTATAAGTAATGTTTCAGATAAGCATGGAGAAGCCATAAATGTCTCCTCAGCACCTGCATAATAACCACAGTACCCACACCACTGTGGGTTCTGCGCCTACTCTGGGCAAAACTATTTTGGAAGAGAGGCTTTTTTGAAACATTTATTGGGACTATTTATCCTGCAGCCTTTAAAGACTTTGGGTCCAGTTGCAGAGAGCTTTGGGGCTCCTGGTACAAACTGAGATGGTTCTGTAGAGTCAGAGTGCAGTGACCTGACAGAGGAGTGACACAGAAGCACAGTGCTGATGGCAAGGAGTATAATTTGACCCTACAAGAAATAAGACTTCTAGGAAGTTCAGATATTTAAATTCTGAATACTGTAAAAGCCAGTTTCTTACAAGGCAGGCAGTTCCTTATGCCATCTTTCTATGCTGGAAACTATCAATTTTTCCTTGCATAAAACTATGCCCTAAGTCCTTCCTATTTTCTCCACAGCCTTGAAGTTTCTGTCTAACCCCATGGACTTGCATGAAAATTGAAGAAAGTAAAGAAATGTGATAAAAGTTCAATTCCTTTTAGATACTATATTGTGGAATAGCAGGAAGGAGAATTGCCATTATTTGGTGCACTTAAGAACAGGCGCTGAGTCTGACCAGTACGGCTACACTGGGCAGTCTTCTAACACCGTAGCCTAGGCAGCTTGGAAGATGTTTTCTACTCCTGTAAAACTTGCTTAATGTACAGATTGAACTTCCGACATAAATAAAGAAATCAGAGTTATCCCAGAGATGCCAAGGCAATTGCAAAGAGAAGGTAGCTTCTAGGTCTGGAAGCCTTTATTTCTTTCTCATCAGTTGTAATTAATAAAATCATGCCTTTCAGACTGTGACACAAAGACCTTGACAAGCAGTGTGGGCAGCTCTCTACATCTTACTCTATTTGAGGGTAACAAAAATAGACTACAGAATCATTGGGCTTGCACTTTGTCTTCGTATTTGTTTGATCAGTTTGACAGCAGGGGCTACACCTATCTGGAGCCATTTGGCACAACCAAAACAGTAAAAAAGAAGCTGTGAAGGAGCTGTCCTGTCCCTTCGTGCAGTCACGCTGTTTTGTGTCTTTCTGTTCAGCTTCCTTGTGTTTCTGAGATACCAGATTTATTATGGTTACCCTCTGCAGACATACCTGGAATATCCCATCATCATTGCACAAGGTAATTCTTTTAAGCCATGTTTTGGAAGTAAAACAGAGCTCATTCAGCACTCCAAGACTTGTAGATAGAGTACTCAACTGCGATGACATGTATCCATTGACCAGTTCTAGCTGGGGTTGGGGGGAAGAGAGAATGAGCATCTCAAATATAATTGAATTCCTATACAGTTTATGAAAATGGAAGGTCAGGTGGAGGAGAAAGACCTAATTAATACACACACAGTGGAGTTGCAGCATAAGCTCATCCTTTCTCCAGTGCCTCCACATGGGAGAGAAACCTTATAAACGCTCCAGATTCTGAGAAAAGTTTCATTTTGGAGCTTGCAGTGTTCTGGACATCAATCATGTTTGAGAGACAGGCCTGTAAGAAACCAGTTTCGATAGACATGGTGCCCAGTGGAACTACTTTTTTCTGTCTAGAATTGCATTTAGACCCTTTCTCTCCCTTCTCTGACAAGCAATCTTTTATTTATTTCAGATGTCATTCTCCTTTTGTTTATTCTGCGTTTCAGTGGAAATATGAAACGAGCTTTGTTTTATGCAATCACGTATCCTTTGAAATCTGGGAATTTTGGTTTATATAGCCTGTTTGGTAGTTCTTTGCATAGCAGCTATGTCATCATTTGTTTTCTGCTACCATTGTAAATCATTTTCAGCCACCCCTCAACATGCATTCCACCTTCATGTGCTGATTTCTTGGATCACAGTAAAGTCTCTACGAGACAAAAGCTTTGTATGTAGCTATGCTTTAGAAGGCCCACAACTCTTAAGGAGTAAGACCAATTCTTAATTTACATCTTTGCTAGAGATGCAGGGTGGAAATGATGAATCTTTTTTCTTTGATTCCTACCCATGCAGATTGTACTTGCTATGATGAACACAGCAGTGTATTGGGTTTTTTTTAAATAGGACTTGGGCTTAAATCTCAAGTCTTGTGCTTTGGAGAAGGTCTTGAGAAACTCCAGGCACTGTTCAACCAAAGACAGTGTGAAAAAAGGAACACTTAGTGTTTCAACCAGTGCTTAATATGTTTTATCTAGATTGTATAGTCTGCTAAAAAGTTTCAATAAGATTATTTCCAGATGTTGAAAAAAATCTAATTCCCCAGGCAGTTTTGAGAGCTTTGGTATCCTAGAATTTTCAGTGCTATGAAACTTAACATAATGTAAGATTTGGGGGGGGATGGTACATGCTAACACTGCGGAAGTGGATAATAGACCTGGCCATGGTAAGTGCTGCGTGACTATTTGAAATTAGGTCCACATATGAAATGACTTTTTTTCTGGACATCTTGGTTGGTGAAATCTCTCCTTATATTTGTCCTTGGAAGAATTAATCATTTGGGTTAGCTTTCAGAACAACCCCAGTTTTCAAATATGGCTGTTTCACTTCTGTGAGTAGCTGGAAAACATAGCACTGGCAATAGAGGCTCTATGGGAGGGGAAAAAAAAGTATGTTCTGAGGTAAAGTTGTTAATTGTGGTGCCTTAATTAAAACTAGCAAAGGTTTAAGATGTTGAAAAAAGATTGCCTCTTTAGTCCTAATGTCATAATCCCCATTAATAAACCTTTAACACGAGAGGAAAAGAAAAGAGCATCGGTCAAAGCATTTGAAATAGGGAATGTTAAATATTTCACAAGATCTTTTTTCCCTTTAATCCTAGAATTTTGCAAGAAAAATATCATCTGATAGTGGCCTACATAGGTTAAAGATGGTCTTTTCCCTTTTTGTCAGAAGAGAGAAAGTTAAAATTTAATTGAGATGAACTGGAGTTGCTAATGCAAAAGATGATACAAATGGGGATAAAAGCTTCTTAAGCCTAACACCAATCCTTACTTGCAAGGGAAATCCGGGCATGCCACAGAGACCCATCTGGAGGTCTCTTCGACCCGCTGCCTTTGCAAAGTCCCCCTTGAAAGGATGACAGGGTGAATAGTCTGTTCCCTTCATTACTTTTTCCCACCAATTGGACTCATTTTCCACACATTCTTGTCAGTTTTCTCATTCTTTTATGGTTTTGTTTGCCAGACATAATGGTAACAGATGGTCTGAATCAACCTTGCTGTTTAGACTAGATCAGTCTCATTTTAGCTAACTTTCATAAACAGTTTTATATAGCAGGTTGAGAGGCTTTTTTATTTCTTTGCTTCTTATTGTATTTGCCTCTATCAAGCATTTGCCAACAGCAGTAGCAACTGTTGTGCTCTTTGAGCTTCTGCCTGGGCAGTACCTCAGAAATTAGTTCCTTGCTTCTGGCAACTTTAATTTTTTGCTTCACGGTTCCTTAGAAAGCAGCTGAAACGCTTGGGTTGCAAAATACTGAAAAAGTTGGGGGTTTTTTGTATTCTAAATGAAAAAGCTAGTCCTGGTTTTTAGTAAGTTACATACTAACACCCATAAGCTAAATGCTCGGATAATACAATGGCAGAGGCAGAGGTTCTTTCTCTTTTCTTACCTGCTTTTCAGAATTTGTGCACGCTCATCAGCGCGGCCAGTAAGCTGGCTCAGTTGCGGTGTCTCTGGCAGACAAAAGATTCTGGACAAGTGAGCGCCTTGACCTGGAGTATGTCTGCATATACCTGCGCAAGTAAGCTTCGGGGAACTTGGTGTGAAGCACTGAGTTTTCTTTTTTTAAAGCCGTATCTCCTCCTAATGCCTCTTTCAATAGATCTTCACTCAAGTGTAGCAGGTAAAAATCTTGCCTAATGTAGTTTCCCTTAGTGCCGACGTCTGAGACTCAGATACTACAGTCTTTTGAAATCAAGTTTTATCATTGACATCAGTCACAATGACACTGACTTAGAAAACATGCAAATATGGTCAAAGGAACCCGAAATAACTGAAAGAGT